CCCACGCGAGACTACTCCGCTCATCACCCAAAGCCTCAACGACAAAATTCCGGTCCAGTTGGAATCGCTTGTCTTATAACAGTTCAGAGGAGTTGTAGGGTGGGAGTTGAATGGTACAGGTAGAAATTCCTCACATCTAGGCTCACTCAGGCTGCCAGCATACGCCCGGAAAAGCACTGTACGCGCGTTTCATCCTTTCCGGAATCGTCAGCAGTGCGCGTTCCATGGGACCCTGTTGGGGCTCGAATCGGTAACTCAACCGTTACCTGTCCATAGTTGAGACCACTGAGCTACGGGGAGTCGGTAACGACCATCGTGAATAAGTTATTAGATGCGATATACCTCCGCTCACTATCCACTGACGTGCGCTATACTTCTGTGTAAAGGACAGTGTAACCCATAACGATGGTCATTGTCGTTTCCTGTAGCTCAGTGGTCTCAACCAAGGACTGGCAGCAGTCGAGTTGCGGGTTCGAGCCCTACTAGGGTCCGATAGAAAGGACACTGCTGACGATTCCCGAAAGAAGCAAACGCGCGTGCAGTACGTTTACGGACATGTGATGGCTGTCTGAGTGGGTCTAGATGTGACAAATTTCTACCTACTTATATCAGTTCACCAGAACCTGTGTGTAGGCTACATCGGACACACGACCAGATGTCTCTCGAGGCGGATAGCTGAACATTGCCCTGCCTCTGCCGCATAGTGCCATGTAGACGGTCCAAAGCTCAATTATGGAATGCCTTGTGAGCAGTGGACATGATGTTCAGACCACGGACTTATTCAAAATGGCTTGTATTATCATGAAATGGGGTCCAAAGGGACTCAGAATGTGGTTGCTGGTAACTACGTAAGCCATTGTAATCAGAAGGCTGGAGTCAGAGCTTTGCAAACAGAAGGCGCTAGTGCGAAATTTGACCTGGCCAGGGCCATGAACCAGTCAGCTGACTTTAGCCTAATTGATCTCAAGTCAAAGAAAATGTTATGCTCCCAGATGGCTACATTTTCAGTATTTTACACCAGCTGCCACAAATGTGATAACACATCATCAGTACATATGAGGATTATTTAATTTTAAAAACAGAATAGGTAAGATGTGTACGGATGTAACGTAAGTAATCAGTCCCACCTGTTTGAGTAACGATCGCATATTGATGGTACGAATTATACGGTTCTTCATGCAGTTGACGAAGCCAGCTTTTGCTAACGCGTTTATTAATAGCTCGTTTCAGTTGGATAAAAGCAGCAAACTGCGAGTTGTGTGCGGTGTCTCGGATACTTTTTCAAAGAATCGGTGGAGTCGAGTGGTCTCATTGACCTTGAAATTGCTCAGTCAAAGGGTCTGCCAAAATATGTATACAAAATGTTTGCAGTAGATAGCATAAAAACGATGTTTTGGGGGAGCGCGGAAACGGCAATACAATAGTACCGCCGACCTCGAAGGCTATTGTGATGTTCAAGTTTGACCATAGATCGGACCCAGCTTAAGTGTGTTAAGCTAGCAGTAGCTAGTTATGCCAATGGCAACTTGATTCATTACTATACATAACTGAAGAGGATTATCGAAAAGCGATTTCTTCGTAAGTATCTTACCATGAATCTGTTTATGAGCATATATGTAGATGCCTTTAACTACACTGGAGCTTGTACCGGAATAACAGACATTTCGACTAAGTCCTCTTCCAGCCCTAATAGAGCATAAGGTTTGTCACTTGAAAAGTATCAAAACTACACCTTATCCTCTTTTTAAGCCAAATTGAAAAGGTTATCAGAACGGTTTAGTCTACTCCATTAACCGACCAGAAGTTTTGTCTACTCGGTAAGCTCCTTGCCCTGCGATTAATTACCTACGAAAAAGGTATCGAGCGCAATCTAGTCAACGTAAAACAATCGCATAGCTCGCGATCGGAAGCCCCATCTCGCCGATGGTGTTGTTAGCATTGATGGTTGTTCGGGCTATCTGTGACCATTTCGTGTTAGCTTACTTGTTCTGAGGCGCATACGAAGCGCACCAAGCACAAGACAATCTACGGCCTTCGTCACCAGTGATTCGAAACTCTACCATACCAATTCCTTCGAGGTTTCAGACATTTTCCGTTGACGTCCAATTTGCTGGGTGCACCATGACATCCTCAGGAAACGTATGCTGTTATTACTATAGTCTTTGTAACAGAGTTAGCAAGAAGGGAACATTAGCGGGCTATGCTGGAAACGCAGGACAACACAGCTGTATATGGTGTGTGAAAATATATGACCAGATAACTCCAATGGACATTACTATGGTCAGCGAAATATCGTGGTTCACAATGCGTATATGTTGTATACAATATTGTAAGCAATTACTGCACTATCTAGCAAAACCACTGTCCAAAGTGGTAGCCGCTCGATTAATCATGCCGTTTCATTTCCAGGTTGATTCATCCTCAGGCGATCTCATTTCACACAGTTAGGTATACAGCTAGTTGTTTTTGATCTCGGCATGGAATCACACCGGTTTTTATCACATCGCTTAAAGTTTTAATCACCTTTGTTGCCATACACACCTCTTTCCAGACTGTAGTTAGTATTGGCAACTATATATTGTGATCGACCGTTGTTAAAGTGTGAGTTAGTTCTGTTGTTATTTCAGCTACCCTTAATTTCATCTGTAGTTTTTCTAAACCCCTCTAGCATCATATAGCAGTATGTTGTTGCATTAAAATGCCAGTTTACTTGGCAGAAAACTTGCAAGACCGGAGATAATTTTATAAACTAAACACTGTTACGACGGAACAAGTGGGTTATAGTATTGAGATAGGAGAGGCCATTTGCTCGACCACAGTATTCCAATGCAACTCGTGCTCATTATTACATCAGGGCATACGCTTTCTTACACGATCTCACCAACTCCCAGATATACATTAAATAAAATCCGTACACTAAAGCGATATAGCATTCATGATGTCAGACAAGAAAACTAAATGATTGTGTATCCGCATGTTGGAGTTACCGAGTTGTGTACAAGTAGAACGTTAAGCAAATAAAGTAAAAACAAAACGCAATATTTGCAAATATCTGTGGAGGCTGATTAGTAGATATTCTCTAAAGGTTCTACTCTATAGTAGTATTAAATAAAGCTGTTTCACACTGAAAGATATGTGATATAAGCGGTGCACTATTAATTAACCAGGGCCCAGTTTGTAATGAATGAACAAGGCAAAAAAACGACCGACTATATGAAATGGTCTGTGGATGAAAAGACCTGGATTTGTCGAAATGACGCTTTCACGTGTCACAATAAAGGCGTGCTTCATCGAACTCAAACAAACGAACGTACAATATTGTTTACATTACTGCCATATGATTGTCAGTATGAGATGGGTATTTATATAATGTATTGGCAAGCAGCTGCATGCACAAGAGATTTTATCATCTTTCGGCTGCAATTTTTAACCCGTACTGAGGAATTTCCAATGATCTATATGATACCGTGCAGCTCAACTTCGCCCTCCCCCTAGACTAGGATGCGGTACGGCACTGGCCATTGAACACTCCTTTTTGAACTATTTCCCTTACAGTTCGACATTGTCACTTAGGCGAAGTCACATATTTAAACTCAGCCATGCCTGAAAAGTGGCTTTCCAGGAGATGGTCCCCTGTTTTGGACCACAAAATATATGAACTATGTTTGCCTGGTGACTTGTAACGACACTCTCCGTGCATTAGTTGTCTCCTACAATAAGAAGTGACTTGATTAGGTTAACACTCGGTTTTTTGTTTGGTTGTGCCTACTTTGCCCGATGCCATTGTTTTGCACAAAACAAATAAAGCAAACTGCTGCGCCCAGTGGGATTTATGCTGACGGTTAATTTTTAAAATGGACGAACCTGACTTTCCAACACCTCGACCGGATTGTTATGAGAGAACACAGCTTATGCGTTGGTCGTTGCCAACGATGTGTTGGAAGCGCAGTATCTTAAGTGGTTACCTATTTGAGGGTAGCATTCGGAGCGAAATGTTAGATTATAGCCACTGATTTCTCTCTAAATGATGGATGTCTTTCCAACCAAGTTATTGAAATATGCAAGCAACGCTTGTGTTTTTAGTTGTGGATCCAGCCGTGGTTTCTTTGGATATCCCAAGCGCCTTTGGGATGGGATACGTGCCCTGAGCTTGAACGACGGATTAATTTACAGTAAAGCCGGCTACTGAAATCAAGCTATTCTGGACCTGATCTGATCTCAAGACAGCATCTCACGACGGGTAGAAGTGTATTACCCCTAGTACGAGTGGTGTAACATTGAAAAGAGCAACCGGTGTTTGTTTCGAAGTTGTTGGCTATCGACGCTGAACTGAGTCAAGGTTAAACAAATGAGTTCGCAGTTTATGCCTAGAAATAGTTATTCTTTCCAATCACTGATCACAAATCTTAACCTTGGGTTGCTTATTCCTCGGAAAATACTAGTATACGTCTTATAGAGCCACAGACATCGCTAACCTGTCCAGGCAGCTCAAACATGTTTCTAGTTGCGTGCTCTCTCAGTGCTAAGCTGATGAACCTTTCAACAGAAAGCAACCATCGACTAGTCCCAAAAGTTCCATTACCCACAGGAGTAAGATAAAATCTAGAACTTATAGATCGGTGACAACAATATCTATAAGTCAATTTTTCTGACAATGTGAATAATGTTTCTGTTACTTCGTCGTTTGTTGAGCCCTATTGCCAGTCGTAACCTTACAACTACTGTTTAATGTGAGCAGAAACAGGTGATGGAATAACGGGACACAATGTTGTAATCCCACTCATCATATTCCGATTGCCTTTCGATTCTTGACCTCTTGAATACCATGTTCAAATGTAACCCAATTAATAATATGTAACAAGTCTATGTAGGCTCACCTGTGTGATGTCTCGAGTTATTCCACCTGATGAACTGGACAATTTTACTGCGCTATTGGAGCCAGTTCGGTATAATCCATTGTTTTGAGTTGCCACAAAAATTCGTGCTCTTTCAATTCCCAGGTGCCTCATCTCACCTTCTGCACAACCACCTACTGCAATCGCTGCTGTCTCAAATTGTGCTAGTGGACCCGAATGAAAAAGAGTTCAACTGGTTGAAAACAGTTGCATTGTTTGGTGCTCCGGCTGATTTCTGTTCAACGCTAAAGGACACCGATGAAGGTGAGTACTCATCTGACGAGTTGGTTCACTCAAATAACTTACAGATTTACAAAGAAGCAGTAGGGGGAGTTGAAAGGTGTAGGTAGAAATTCGTCACGTCTAGACTCACTCAGACAGCCGTCACACGCCCGGAAAAGCACTGTACGCGCGTTTCATCCTTTCGGGAGTCGTCAGCCATGCGCATTCCATCGGACTCTGGTAGGGCTCGAACACATAACTCGACTGTTGCCAGTCCGTGGTTGAGACCCCTGAGAACACTTTCGTGCAGTAACCCGCAACTCTTTGGATAGTGAGCAGCGCTATATCACATCTAGTAACTTATTCACGATGGCCGTTGCTGTTTCCCGTAGCTCAGTGGTCTCAACCACGGACTGGCAACAGTTGAGTTGCAGAATCCGATAAAATGCGCACTGTTGATGATTCCCGAAAGGATGAAACGGGCGTACGGTACTTTCCCGGGCGTGTGCTGGCAGTCTGAGTGAGCCTAGATGTGACGAAATTCTACCTATAACCTTCAACTCCCCCTATTACTCTTCCGTAATCAGTACGCAGATCAAACTGTTTATAATGCCATAAGTTAATTGGCGGCTTAAGTTTGGTAAGCTCATCGCTTGGTGAGGGGCTACCCTGTTCTCTGCACGGCAGTAAGGTGGAAGCCAGTGGATAGTGAGCGGCGCCATATCACATCTAGTAACTTATTTACAATGGTCGCTGCTGTCCCCCATTGCTCAGTGGTCTCAACGGACTGGCAACAGTAGCGTTGCGGGTTCGAGCCCTACTGCTGATGATTTTCGAAAGAAAGAAACGAGCGTACATTGCTTTTCCGGGCGTGTGGCGGCTGTCTGAGTGAGTTTAGATGTGGCGAGTTTCTACCAACTTACATATTGTCGTGCAGCTTAGACTCACCTCACCTCAGACGGTAGCGTTCCATCAGTCAGTAACGCGAATATACCAATACAAATAAGGTCTAAAAAAGATTAATTGTATTTATATAAAAGTGTATTGTCTAATTTTCTGTAATGAATGTTATCTTATTATTATGTTATATTATTATCTCTTGTATTATCTTATTTTTAGTTATTATTCTTATCGTATATATTTTATCTTTTAGTTTATCTTTATCATATTTTTATTATTTTATTATTTATTTTATATTTCATTTTAACATGTTCTATTATTATGTGTTTATTGTTATGTTTTATTTTTTAATTTATTCTTTTATCTTATTAAAATGATTTAGTGCGTATCTAACTGAGAGAACACACTTTAGTGTGTGAAAGCAATAGGTGTTCTGTTGCGATGAATGAAAATTTGTGAAATCGTACTTTGTTGATGGATGAACGGTTGTCAACATGTCAGATGAATGCATATGGTTACAACAATGCGCATATATGCCGCGCTCCAAAAGTCTGCAAGCAGAAATTACGGTCGAAATCAACGGCTTATCCTTTACACATTAATTTTCGAAATTGTTCATTAAAACACATTTATAGTAATTTCGGCGAATCGAAAAAAGTTACGCATAAAACTGTTGTCCATATTCTAAATCTCAGTTATTTCTGAGCACACCAAGTATTTAATAAAAAGTGCTTTTTATATCGGTTTAAAATACGGACCGGCTGAACACTGACACCACACACAAGGAGACTGAATGGCATGGACCAGCGAACAATGTTTTTGATTTAGTCTTCTTCCCATCAACATTGTCGCTTCTGTTCATATCAGATAATTAATTTCAATAGTGCCTGAGTAGTAATGTTTCAAGAGTTGGCATCGAATTCGTGTTAAATCTGAATTTGTCAAAGATAGTTGTTGCCTTCGAACGTTGCGCTCCGTCCAACGAATTTCCTCCCCGTTTCGACTCATCAGGTATAGATGTCTGATGGCGGGAGTGGAATTTGTGTAATAATGGTTGAAAGTTGCGCTTTGATGGAAAAATCGTTTCGATGCTCGAGAAACAGTTATCACCGGAGGACGCTTTGAGAACACGGTGTATGCGGTACGGAGTCCAGTAAATTTCGCGGTACCAGTTAAGCCAACTAGTCTATTTTGATAGAAGACATTTATTGACGCAAATAAGTGTGATGGCCTTTCTCAATGGGTCTGTTAATGACGTATCGTCATAGTTGAGGGGCAAGATACTATGTATCCTGACAGGTAACTTGTGTCCCACCCGTGAGAGGCAAATTGGAAGTCATTCGTTTTGGAGTATGGTTAGTTAAGGGAACATAACTAGAACAACTGGTTACATGATACACAGAGACAACAACGCTAACATGTTCTACTAATGGAAAGGCAAGTGAATCCTTCCGAATATTGCTCCTTATCAAGACTATCTTTCGCCACCTATCAGTGAGAACTCTCCCTTAGTCACTGGTCAACTGCTTGACCGTAAATCTCCACTGTTTGTGCCCAAAAACAATGGACAAAAAATGGACTATATATGTAAAATATTCTATTTTCGGATATTTCAAGACATATCACTGTAGCTAGGATAGTAAGTTTACATGCATTTATGGGTGGCTGTGGTATCGAGCAAGACAAAAATGCGTGTATATCACATATGTGAAAAATGAGGCCGAAACTCCCATTGTACCCACTTCGTTGTCGATCCGTGGCCGAAATTACGAGGCGTCTGCCTCTCCCCCGGAAGTCGCTGTTTCTAACTTGCTCACGGGACCAGGCTACTCTTGCCTTATTCTTAGCCGACTGGTGGTGGTTGCTTGGCAGCGAAGCGTCAGCACGGTGTACCGACGTACTGCCGTTGTCTTGCCTGTCTTGTCAGAGCAGTGTAGTTTGACCGTCGTTATTGCTGGGTCATCTCTTGATTGAACAGATCACTGTGAATGTCCTCATCCAGGAGTTTGAATTATATTATAACAAATCCATCTCTAGTATCATGCTAAACCAGAGTGCACAGCTTTGACGGTTTCGCCATTTTATGCAATGTAGGCGCCGTTAGTTGATCCTGATTGTGCGGACGATATCGTCTTGCTTTTCGACGATTTTGCGGCGGCCCAAACAACCCTGAATAACCTGTCCAGAGTGGTCCCATTATTTGGGATGCACTTCGCACCTTCAAAGTGCAAAGAGTTGTTGCAGGACCATCAGCCACTTGATGACCCCTTGACGTTTACTAACGAAGAACTCGAGGTAGTTGATCATTTCACTTATCTTGGCAGGTGCATCAACAATCATGGGCGTTTAGAAACTGACATCAGCTCACGTATTGCAAAAGCTAGCGCTACCTTCTTGAACCTGCGGCATCATTGGCGACAGAAGGGAATTTTCCTCCTTCCGAATGGCCATGTATACAAGGCCACAGTGAGGGCCGTTCTGCTATATAGCAGTGAGAATTGGCCCCTTCTGTCTGAAGATCTGAGGCGCATTCAAGTCCTTGATCATGGTTGTCTGCGAAGCATTGCTGGTGTCGGATGGCACCAGCACGTCCGCAACGATGATGTGCGTAGGCGAGTACTAGGCCGAGTACTAGGCCCTAGAACAACAGATAGCACTGAATAAGTTGCGTTGGCTCGGGCACGTGCTACGTATATCTGCTCACCGCTTACCTAGGAGGGCCTTGTATAGTCTGCCAGGTGTAGGGTGGCGCAAGGCTCGTGGTGGACAGAAGTTGACTTGGCAGCGTGAAATGAAGTCACTGACGACCAAACTGGGTGCCGTTGGTCCGTCTCGTCTTCCGGCTGGAGTCCACGTGACTCGCCTTGTGCTTGGTTTGAGACTTTACAGGACATGGCTCGCAACCGACACCAGTGGCGCGTCTGCTGCCGTCTTCTAATCGGATTGCCTGTTTAAAGTGTGTTTGGTGCTGAGTTATCTGCGGGGTAATGGCTGATTATGACGCGTGGCAGTGAAAGCCGCAAGGAAGCTGTCTCGCTGATGCCGCCTTATCTTTGCACGTTAGCCAGCTGTTTGTGACTGTATGTTGTCTACACAAGGTGTAGGCGCCTTGACCCTGAATGTTTGCTTAGGACATTAAGGTTTTCAGGTAAGTCCCCCTTCTCTCCCTCTTCTTATTCTTTATTTCATAGATCCTCATGTTTGTATGGTAGCGAAGCATCAGTTCAAATGGCTGATGTACTGTTGTTGATGATGATGATGAGGCGCCGTTCGCTTTCGGTCTGTTTAAGTACATGAGCACATCGTGACTGCACGTCACGCAGTAGACCAACTTTATCTTTACAATACATCGGAACCAACCATGAGAAAGCAAATTAGTTCCCCTTTTCCAACCACTTCATGGCAATTAAGTCAAAATGGTCCATTTCCCTTTTACACGCCTTACAATAACACATTCTTTATGTGGATTTCGACTTTCAAACACCTTTTAGACATTTTAACGCAGGAAGTGTTCCACGACTAGAATGCATCCTCATAATTCGTCCTCCGCTTCAAGCGTGCTCCCGGACTTGTGTAGTTCTGTGACCGATTAAAATGTACAACGAAGAAAAGTTGGCACACGTAATGTTCTAGATTGCTTTTGGATCCATCTACTGTGACGTTTAACGCGTTTTCCGTCCATGCAATATAATCATGAACCGCTTGACCGCTGCCTTCAGGGTATTACCTGATCATGTAAAGATTTCTCTAACACCAAAACCCGCCATGCAGTAAAACGCTTTTTTTAATGTTTTATACTTATTTAACTGATAGTTCGACTATTTATCCAATCTAAAATTGCCGTTTTCGTTAACTCATGTGTCATTGTGCGTTTGTTTTCAGTTTATTTGGGATAAACTTGTCATAAAAGCAGAACGGAACCACTTTGATAGCAAACGTAAACATCGGAAGACATAGATTTTGAGATAACATCGTCACCGAGTCAATCCTGATGAGTCGTTCACAGTGCTAATGCGCTATCAGCGGCCTCAACTCCTTACGCTGTTGAAAACTATTCTTATCGATCGCGAAACACCACAGCTGTGCATTCAAAAGCAGCTGACAGTGGCTCTAAGCCTACCATAGTAGCTCATGTGTTTTGCTACCTGGGATCAACTCTTTTATATTACAATGTTGTATGTCTTTGTGATTGATAAGAATGCACGAGATTATGGTGTCATCTCACAATATGCGTATTTTGCTTTTTAGGATTGGAAGCATTAAGGGAAATGCATGCTTTACTTTGATTTTATTTGAGCTTAAAAAGTAAGGCAAAATGGGTATATTCAATGCAAACTTAACGCGCATTGGATAATGCCATCGCAATCCACAGCAACTTGCTCCTTCCAACTTAGATTACTATGTATTTGTTGGTTAGCTACAAGTTTGTTATTTCTCGGTGTGTCTATTTCCTTCCTAGTTGCAATCCATTCGTCTGTTCTCGAACAGTTCCAGCGACGAACGCAGCAGTATGCGAACTCTACTCTTCGACTGGACAACTCACGACGTGATCAGTTACTGATGCTTTTCGGAATGTTGCGATTACTCCACCAAGCAATGTGCATGGACAATCTCCCTCGGATGCGGCAGTATTTTGAGTCTACTCTTCATATACCTCCTTCCCAATTTGAGTCGCTAATATACAGCATGATTTTCGCAGCCGTAGAAACAGCCACTATGTGCGAACCCATATAGTAAACACTCTCAAAATGACAGAGATGTACAGTTGTACAGATCAATTGTGATGCCTCTCTTTCAAATTATGCAGCTAGACAACTTGAAACAATTATTTGCGCAGCAGTTGGTTATGTTATTCTTTTTACAATTCACTCACATGCAGATAGAAAAGATTACCATAGACTAATGTACTTTTTGCATTCAAAGTGTAGCATTTCATCTTTGGTTGCGCCACCGATAACCTGAGTTTGTTTTTTGGGTGTACTTTGAAGTATTTTACGTTCACGCTGGGGAAGAGTCCGGTCATCTGTGAACTCTAGCTTCTGAAATTATCAGTGGCATTGACATAGGGTTGAAACTGGAGCCGGGTATTTGTGTTCCACACATAGACTGCATTAATGCAGCAAGTTAAAATAAACTGCACCTTATTAAAGGGCAAATTTGAGGTGCCCGTTGTGTGAATAGATTTTGACGCACCACCTCGATATTGTTTGCGATTTCCATTGAAGTAAGCCATGGTTGATCCTATCCATCGCAATGATGCTGGATCTTACCGTGGTGCGATGGTCTACGTGCCTCAGCGATCCATCGAGCTATGCTGGACGGTGCTACTTTTGCACTTTCAGAGCCGCTCATACCAGATTGGTCAACGGTTAGAGGCCAGACAAATTCAGCCTCCTGGTCCTCCAGGTTGGGGGTTGGAATGAGGTGGCTGCTTATCCTTTAAAACGGACACCTTGTAGCCCAACGCCAAACCCACTGCCTTGCGGTCAGGTTTTTGAACCAAAGGCTTTGGTTGAGAGCCCTAGTCTTTCTCCTGTCTAGGCCTGGGAAACCTGACAGTATCCTGCCCACGCAATATAATGAATTTCTCTTCAAACAGTTTCTTGTTGCCCTGGTCACCGCAAAGGATAATCAACGGAGAAATATTCGCAGAAATATTCCTATATATATATATATATATATATATATAATGTGTGGGCGGGAGAGCCTTGGTGCGCTGAGGCTGGTGGTAGCTAGATCTTGACAGATGGTCTACCCACTGTTGCTACTGTGGTGTCATGGGCTCATCTTCTCGACGACTCCTCGTGGCGACCGCTGGTTGGGATTTGGGTTCCGTCCTTCTCCCTGCTAAGATAAAGGACATCAATCCGCATAAGTCAGTGAACTGATCATGTGCCAGACCCGCTGCCTTTTTGATGTACATTTAGTAGAACGTTTTTACTGAGGACCCGAGTAATTCTCCTGTCAGGTGTGGGCGCTCTGCCAGTATCCTAGTCCATCCTCTTCAGAGGTTAGGACGTGGTCGATGGTCCTGTTCCCGTAAAACCTAGCCATGAGAGGTAACAGGTCTACGGGTTATAAGATCACAGCTCGATTGGCGTAGAGCGCGAGCGCCACGCACTGTCTCTGACGTTGGGAAGACACCTCGGGTGTTCAACTGTTCGCTACTTCCCGCCTCCAGCCAGGCAGCCCCTGGTCAAATTGGCGCAAACCCACCAAAACCCTCCAGCGTCTGGCCGTGTCCGCAGGTGCGTGTCTTACTACGAGCTCAAAACATATATGAATTGTTCCAGGTTTTCAAAGGTTGTGTGTGGCAGAACGCAAACAGATCCCCATCTCTCTGCAATCACATTCCCGAGCTGGATCTGCTCCCCACTGCCTAGTAAGCTCCTGGCGGAGTCCCTCAAGCAAAAGTCCAGATCATCCACTGTCTTGCGTATCAAGCTATTGAACCAATGATTTCAGGTGTGTTTCCTCAATCAAACCTCCGAGGCACAACCCGCCACCACGCGTGTGCGTTGGTAAATCTATGTATTGCACTCCTGCCGTGAACCGGCGGAAACATAACGTTCTTCCCCAGGAACTGTGGAGAAGTACGCGGAGCTGGGGAAGGCGATGGCTGCACGCCTCTATGAGGTGGGATGTATAGTCACCGTGGGCGACCCGTGGCACCACATTCGCGAGCGAGTGACAGCTGCTGCCGAGGAGACCATCGAGCACGCAAAAGTGTAAGCGGCTTGATTGGTTTGATGAGAACAATACGACGATTGGCGCATTGGTGTCGCAGAAGAATGCAGTATTTGCTTCACATGTTGCAGACCCCAGTGATTTATAGAATACTAGTCAGTTGTGCAGACTTCGACGACGATTAACTCGAGAGCTACGTTGCATTAAAAAAGCATGGTAGACTCAGAAGGCACAAGTAAAATGTTACGCAGAATCCCGCTAATACAACCAACTCTTTGACACATTGAAGGCGGTGTACGGATCGAGGTTAGAGCCGCTGAGGACGCTAATCGATGGTAGTTCAGGAGCTACCTGTACACAGACTGCAGACACAGATCTGGCGGAAACATTTTAACTGTCTTTTGAACAACCGTTCGGAGATCGACTGGCCTACTTTGAACGGTCTGAAGCAGAACGATGTGAAGGCGAGTCTGGTGGACACACCGACACTGGATGAGACGCAGAGAGCACTTGCTCAGCTGCGAAACGGCAAGTGTGCTGGTGTCGACGGGATCCCGCTTGAAGTATTGAAACATGGCGGACCCGCGTTGGTGACTGCGCTGCACCACTTGGTGCAACGCTTGTGGATTGAGGAGGAGGAGGAGGTGCCCCCTGAGCTGAAGGATGCCCTTGTGCTACCACTTTACAAGGGTAAAGGGGCAAGCAATGTTGCACGAATTATCGTGGCAGCAACTTGCAGCGCTTTGTGGGCAAGGTGGTTGCCCCAATCCTGATCAACCGCCCCGTCATTCAGGTTGTGGAACCGAACGCAGCGGAAGAGCAATACGTTCCGTTGCGGTCGCATCATCGGCATTGTAGCTGGTGTTGCGTAAGTTTGGTCGTCTGCGTACGTTTGTTTAGGTGAATGGCTGCACATTGGTATGCGGGCGAGGGTGCAGCTGAGTGGAGTGACCTCGGATGACTTTGCAGTTGTCTCTGGTGTGAAGCAAGGCTGTGTCCTAGCTCCTTCCCTGTTTAATATATATCTTCATGCAACGTTGTCTTGTGCTTCTGATGCCACTTGTGCTTACGGTGGTCGTGTGGAGCACCGTATTGATGGTGGGTTGCTGAACATCCGTCGTTCCGGTGCGAGAACTCTAGTCTGTAAGACAACTATCCGTATGTTGCTGATTGCTGACGTCTGTGCGTTGTTTTCACACAGCGCGGATGTTTTGCAGCACAGAACTAGTGCTCTGGCTTCGACAGCGACAAAATTTGGGCTCACCATCAACACAAGCAAAACTGTCTGTCTTTTTCAGCCTTCACCGGAGGTGCAATCTTCAATATTGCCGCGAATCAGCATTGGTGCTGAAGTATTGGAAACCACCTCCCGCTTTTGCTACCTTGGGAGTGTGATGTCGACTGATCAGCAGCTACACCTTGAGTTGCGTAATCGCGTGTCGAAGGCAGCGGCATTCGGGAAGCGTGAGTACCGAGTGTGGAACAACCATCAGCATATCGTTGGCATGAAGCTGATGGTGTACAAATACATGGTCTGTCCGTTCTTCTACACGGCAGTGAAAGGTGGACGATGTACCGGCGAGGTGTGAGATATCTCGAGCAGTTCCATCAACGGTGTTTGCGACGGATTCTGCGCTTCGGTTGGTGCGACAGAGTTGCAGACACTGAAGTGTTGAGCCGCAGTGGAATGTAAGCAGTGGACTGCATACTTTTTCTGACACCTTAGGTGGCTCGGTCATGTGTGACGTATAGATTCGACGCGGATACGGAAGCATCTATTACATGGTTAGCTGGGTGTGCGAAGCGGCATGCGGAGAATCGGAAGCTTCGTTGCCAGGACATGCACAAAGTAATCCTAGAATGTTTTAATGTTGATTAGGTATGTTAGGAATCGAAAGCGCTTGATCGGTGTGCATGGCCTGGTCTGATAGCGAAGGACATTGTCGAGATGCAAGAGAAAGCCCTCGTGCATGCAGAGAAGAAGCGGCAAGTGCGGAAGTGACAGGCGCCGATGAGCTGTACCCATCGACATCGAGCACGTGACCCTTTAGCACATGCGGTCTCGCGTGCCTGAGTCAGACAGTCATGGTGAGCCATGAGCAACGCCACTCAGGACCAACATGGAAACAACGACGGGTCCTGCTGAAAACATACGCAGAACCAGCGTAGCGTTAATAGGTACTCTGCAATCGATTTACTAACCGCTTGTTTGAGTGCTGAGTTCATATTTTATTGGAGCGGTTTGCTACACCTTTTTTAATACATACCACGTTGCCTCCTTGTAGTATTTATCCTAATAATATTCTATAAATTTATTTATATTTGTTTATTTATTTGTATGTTGATAACCCATCTAGTTTGTTTGCTCACTTAGCGAAGATTTATGTCAGCATATCCGTATGATGTTTTCGAAATAGTTTATTTGAGGTTGTCATTTACAGTGATTGCCTGTTGCTTGACATCTCCGGTTTGGTTGCGCTTAATGTGCATGTTGACAAGATGCCTACCTTTCTATTACCCACCATCTCGTCTATGTTGTTTACAGGATACAGTCGAGCTTTGCTGGAGGGGACTGGTTTCATAATCCTCCTGACCGTGTTAGACTCGTAGAGTGGTTTTATGCACATGGTTTGTTTGTGAAGTGGACTACGGTCCAGCTACCGCCTTGTGTGCGACTGATTCCCCAAATACAGCGTGCTTGTGTTTGCTGTGAAGGAGTGTGGGCCGGCTCCGTTGATGAAATGTGGCTCCCATCCACATACCTCCCGGTCTTATTCCTTCGGGTTTACACTGGATATGGGGTGTGTGGATGGAGCTGTGGGTGGTGCAGCGCATGCCACCCGTGGTCCCTCTGTAGGCACAGACTTCCTGTGGAGGCCGCAGCTGAAGGCAAATCCGGGACCGCATGCCGCCAGCCATATGACACATAACTGCATACTTATTAAGCCGGAACCATTTCCCCTGGAAAAAAGTGGTTCTCCAAATTAGCTTTACTGCATTGGGGCTTCACTAATTTTGTTGATGCAAATGTTATTAATGTTGTCTGCAACAAAATGCTCACAGCGCAGAAAGCGTGAAACCCAGCACATTGAAAGGCCACTTTGAACGAAGTCGTTCTCATTCCGAAGAAAAGATATTTCATTTTTCAAACGTGAAGAATTCACGCTGAAATATTTGCGCCTGGATACGTCGGGCTTTTTCAGTTAACTTAAACTGGTCTTGAAGTGTCGCA